TTCCCCCCTCATCCTCCAGAGGATTCCCCCCTCATCCTCCAGAGGATTCCCCCCTCGTCCTCCAGAGGATTCCCCCCTCGACCCCCAAAGGATTCCCCCCTCGCCCTCCAGAGGATTCCCCCTTCAACCTCCAGAGGATTCCCCCCTTGCCCTCCAGAGGATTATCCCCTCATCCTCCAGAGGATTCCCCCTTCGACCTCCAGAAGATTTCCCCCTCGCCCTCCAGAGGATTCCCCCTTCAACCTCCAGAAGATTCCCCCCTCTCCCTCCAGAGGATTCCCCCCTCGCCCTCCAGAGGATCCCCCCCTCGCCCTCCAGAGGATTCCCCCCTCGTCCTCCAGAGGATTCCCCCCTCGCCCTCCAGAGGATTCCCCCTTCGACCTCCAGAAGATACCCCCCTTGCCCTCCAGAGGATTCCCTCCTCGCCCTCCAGAGGATCCCCCCCTCACCCTCCAGAGGATTCCCCCCTCGAACTCCAGAGGATTCCCCCCTCGCCCTCCAGAGGATTCTCCCCTCATCCTCCAGAGGATTCCCTCCTCGCCCTCCAGAGGATTCCCCCCTCGCCCTCCAGAGGATTCCCCCTTCGACCTCCAGAGGATTCCCCCCTTGCCCATCCAGAGGATTCCTCCCCCCCCCCTTCCTGACCAGGACATTTTTGTGATACGGCGCTGCGTTACTTTAACAGACAATTGCGCGGTCATGCAACGCTGCACCCAAATTAAATTTATGTCCTTTGTTTCCCATGAATTGAGCTTTCTTTCGGTGGCATTTGATAGCCTGTGTGTTTTTTATTTTTTTCTGCTATAAAAATAAAAAGACTGACAATTTAGAGAAAAAAAAAAATATTTTGGACTTTTTGCTATAAAACATGTCCAGTAAAAAAAAATTAAAAAAATAAAAGTTCATCATAAATTTCGGCCAAAATGTATTCTGCTCCGTGTCTTTGCTAAAAAAAAATCCCAATACGAGTAAATTAATTCTAAGAGTTTACAGATGGCGGTATATATATACTGGCTTTCTTTTTTCTTTTTTTTTAATTTTTACTAGTAATGGCGGCGATCAGCGACTTATAGCGGGACTGCGACGGGCATTCTGACACTGGGGGGGGGGGGGGGACTTGGTGTCACTGACATCCTCAGTGACAACAATACAGTGATCAATGCTAATAAAAAGCACTTACACTGTACTAATGGCACTTGGCAGGAAGGGGTTAACATCTGGGGCGATCAAAGGGTTAACTGTGTGCTGTGTGTGTTACACTGTAAGCATGCTGCTATGCAGAGCCATACAAAGCAGTGTGCAGGAGCTGACAGGGGAGGAGAAATATTTTATTATTTATTTATTTCAGGTACTACAGCAACAATACAGTTTAATAAAAGAGGGACAGGAGGGCCCTGATCCTGGGAGCTTACAATCTAGGAGATTGACATCAGTCCCTAACCCTCACCCCCCGATTCACATCTATGCGGGTGGTGCCGCATGAAAATCCCTGCAGCTGCACCACCCGCACAGAGGAATGCGGACCCGTGGGCGGGTGTATTAGTTCTAATGGCACGCCGCCCGCACTGGGAAACGCAACCATACTGGGAACCTCGGCTGCGTTTTCCAAAGAAGTGCCGAGACTTCTTCCCTGCGTGTCACGGGGCACGGGGGTCCAATCAAATGAATGGGCTCTCGTGCCTGCGCAAAACGTGTCCCATAACGTCGCATAGGTGTGGACCTAGGGAGGAGCGTACAATCTAAGGTCCCTAACTCACATTCATACATACACATACTAGGGCCAATTTAGACAGGAGCCAATTCACCTACCAGCATGTCTTTGGAGTGTGGGAGGAAACCGGAGTACCCGGAGGAAACCCACGCGGGCACAGGGAGAACATGCAAACTCCAGGCAGGTGGTGCCATGGTTGGGATTCAAACCCTTGTACTAACAGGTCTCTCCCCCCGTCGTAGATCCTCGGCAATCACTGGGTGCCAGCGAGTAATCACTGGCAGGGACCCGGTGATTGGCCGCCATGGCTGCGAATGGTGGCGCGGGTAGGGCGTATGTGCGCCCCCTACCCGGAGATGCAAGATCATATATATATACGTGATTTTGTACACAGCTGCTGTCCTGTAGCAGTATTTCTGCTATGGGGGCGGATACAAAAAAAAATCGACAGTGCAAGTATTCATGTATGAAGCGATTCCCGTTGCGCGAATACATCTCACAGCGCTCTGCGTCACGTTCTGCTCACTGATGCTTCCCCAATAAACCGGCTGAGCCGGACAGGAACTGAAATGAGAAGTTCTCCCGGTCCAATGGGATTGAAATCATGTGACTTTGAAATATTCCGGCTGTGTCTGATCCCGGCCCGACGACTCCGAGATGTGCGCTGCATTCCGTGCCGCTTCTCTAATGAACGCATCACTCTCTGAAATGAAAAGCGTGGTGTCATGTGCGGGCCCAGCGGATGGACCCGCCCCCCCGATGGGATATTTGTCATCGCTGAACGAGGGAATCCCGCTGTGCTTTATAAATAAAAACATTGCGAGAGGCAAAAAGCTTCACTGACTTCATCCAGAAACAGAACCCCATTCCAGAGATCACTTGTTACATAGTTACATATCGCTTGTTACATAGTTATTTATTTATTTATTTCAGGTACTTATATAGCTCTGTCAGTTTACGCAGCACTTTACATATATATTGTACATTCACATCAGTCCCTGACCCTCAAGGTTATATAGTTACATAGTTATATATTTACATTGGTACATTGTTACATAGTTACGCTGAGATATATATATATATATATAAAAATATTTACATTGTTACATAGTTACATTGTTAAATATTTACATTGTTATATATTTACATTGTTACATAGTTATGTTGTTATATATTTATTTACATTGTTACATTGTTATATTATTTACATTGTTACATAGTTACGTTGATATATATTTACATTGATTATATATTTACATTGTTACATAGTTGCATAGTTACATTGTTACATTGTTATATATTTACCTTGTTACATAGTTACAATTTTATATATTTACATTGTTACATAGTTACATTGTTATATAATTACATTGTTAAATATTTACATTGTTACATAGTTACGTTGTTATATATTTACATTGTTGCATAGTTACATTGTTATATATTTACATTTTTACATAGTTGCATAGTTACATAGTTACGTTGTTATATATTTACATTGTTACATAGTTACATTGTTACATAGTTACATTGTTATGTAATTACATTGTTAGATATTTACATTGTTACATAGTTACATTGTTATATATTTACATTGGTACATAGTTACAGGACAGGACAAATCCCCCCAAATGTCAGGACAGGACAAATCCCCCCAAATGTCAGGACAGGACAAATCCCCCCAAATGTCAGGACAGGACAAATCCCCCCAAATGTCAGGACGGTAGAAATCCCCCCCAAATGTCAGGACGGTACAAATCCCCCCAAATGTCAGGACGGTACAAATCCCCCCCAAATGTCAGGACGGTACAAATCCCCCCAAATGTCAGGACGGTACAAATCCCCCCAAATGTCAGGACAGGACAAATCCCCCAAATGTCAGGACAGTAAAAATCCCCCCAAATGTCAGGACAGTAAAAATCTTCCCCCCCAAATGTCAGGACAGTACTGTCACGATATGGGTCTCTGCCAGTCCCAGATATTAATTCCTTTATTAATCCCTCCTGGCCATAGGAAGAGCCTCCTCCAATTAGTATTCACTCCTGTGTGCCAAAGGCCCATAGCTGTAATTAAGGCTCCCCCTCCACAAAAGGTCCCAAATTCAATTAGTGTATACACCACTAATTAGTGCCTTACCTTTTACTAATGTATTTCCCCCACTGTTACACTGTTTACAGCTGCAGATTGAATTATTGTGTCCATCCTGTTCAACCAGTCGTTTGCCTAATTCTAATATCCTCCCCACTAATTAGTGCCTTACTTTTGTAGTAATGTATTTCCCCCACTGTTACACTGTTTACAGCTGTAAATCCAATTATCCTGTTTCAGTGTCCAGCCTGTCCAACCGGTCTTTTCTGTTTACAGCTGCAAATTAAATTACTGTAGTTCCATTCCTGTCCATTCTCTTCATTGTCACCTGCTAATGACCGCCCTCCGCCTCTCGTCCTGCTCAGGGGGTTTAAGAGGCCAGTGCTGGTCTCTCTTGTTCCATTCTGCGTACAGTCACTAAGGGGTCCCAGCTGCGGCGGGATAGTGGCCAGACTCTGCCTAAACCCCATTGGAGCAGGGGGACCCCAGAAGCTATATCAGGCCTGCCTGCAACGCAATCAGCTTTGCCTGAGACCACCAGACCAGCTTTGCCTGAGACCACCACACCAGCTTTGCCTGAGACCACCACACCAGCTTTGCCTGAGGCTACCACACACCAGCTTTGTCTGAGACCACCACACCAGCTTTGCCTGAGGCCACCACATCAGCTTTGCCTGTGGCTACCACATCAGCTTTGCGTGAAGCTACCACATCAGCTTTGCCTGAGGCTACCACATCAGCTTTGCCTGAGGCTACCACATCAGCTTTGCGTGAAGCTACCACATCAGCTTTGCCTGAGACCACCACACCAGCTTTGCCTGAGGCTACCACATCAGCTTTGCCTGTGGCTACCACATCAGCTTTGCCTGAGGCTACCACATCAGCTTTGCCTGAGGCTACCACATCAGCTTTGCCTGAGGCTACCACATCAGCTTTGCCTGAGGCTACCACATCAGCTTTGCCTGAGGCTACCACATCAGCTTTGCGTGAGTGTATGCTTCCCCGGTGTTATCTGACTGTTTATGAACTGCTTTAGAGACTTTAACTTTACCCCCCGGGGCTGGATTACAAGTGTTTCGGACTCTCTCTCCCTGCACTACTCCCCATTGAGTGACTGTCGTCTGTTCTAATAAAGCTTTAACTGTTTGACATCTACTCTGTGTGTTCTGTCCTGCCTACGCTCCGTCACAAGTACAAATCACCCCCAAATGTCAGGACAGTACAAATCCCCCCCAAATGTAAGGATGGTACAAATCCCCCCAAATGTCAGGACGGTACAAATCCCCCCAAATGTAAGGATGGTACAAATACCCCCAAATGTCAGGACGGTACAAATCCCCCCAAATGTAAGGATGGTACAAATACCCTCAAATGTCAGAACAGTACAGATATCCCCCAAATGTCAGGACGGGACAGATATCCCCCAAATGTCAGGACAGTACAGATATCCCCCAAATGTCAGGACAGTACAGATATCCCCCAAATGTCAGGACAGTACAGATATCCCCCCAAATGTCAGGACAGTACAAATCCCCCAAATGTAAGGATGATACAAATCCCCCCAAATGTCAGGACGGTACAAATCCCCCCAAATGTAAGGATGGTACAAATACCCCCAAATGTCAGGATGGTAAGAAATCCCTCCAAATGTAAGGATGGTACAAATCTCCCCAAATGTCAGGACAGCACAACCCCCTCCCCCCAAATGTCAGGACAGTACAAATCCCCCTCAAATGTCAGGACAGGACAAATCCCCCCCAAATGTCAGGACAGGATAATCCCCCCCCAAATGTCTGGACAGTACAAATTAGAAAATAGAGAAACAGAAAAGAATAGAATAGAACAGAATATAATAAGAAATAAAAGAATATAATAGAATAGAAAAAATAATAAAGGAAAAAAGAACAGAAAAGAAAATTAAGGAATAGAACAGACTACACTAGAAAATAATAGAATAAAACAAAACAAAAATAGAATAGAAAATAAAGGAATGGAAAAGAATAGAATCCATTAGAACAGAAAATCTAAGAATAGAATAGAAAATAATAAAGTAAAACAAAGCAAAATAGAACAGAAAATAAATGAATAGAATAGAATCAATTAGAATAGAATAGAAAAGATTAAAATAGAGAATCAAAGAATAGAGTAGAAGAGAATAGTATAGAAAAACAATAGAATATAATAAAACAGAAAGAATATATCTGCCTTCCAAAAGTCAAATTTTGAATAGAATGAATTTGAATTCAAACAGAATACATTAGAATAGAATATAAAAAAATGGAAAAGAATAAAATAGATTAGAAAAGACTAAAATACATTACAAAAAATTGTGAGCTGCGCTATGTTGACGTGAGTAGTGATCAACAAAGGCACTGTGAAAATTTTGCTGAAATAGAAATTTCCAATATGGTCACGCAACTCTCTATATAGCCCATATATGGATTGCGGATTATGGATTGTAACTTTATAACTATTATCGAATCCACTAGAATTGTTTTTGAATCTGTTCCAAATTTCAAATTCGGTAAAATTCAAATAAAATAATCTGAATTCTGAAATTCAAATTAAACAAATTTAATTAATTGAACTAAACAAAATTATACAAATAACAAATGAAACTGCACATATCTAATGCATACAGACTGATGACAGTATGTAAAAAATGATGTAAATAATTTCTTTTCTTTTTTTACAATCTTTTCTTTTTTTACATACTGTCATCAGAGTAGTTCAGTGTCACCATGGTGACACTGTACTACTTTGAGGGAGGTGGTCAGGAATTTTTTTTTTTACACAGTGATTGCTTATAACAGTGATAATCATTGTTATAAGCAATCCTTTTAAATGTCATTAATGGCTTTCTTACTATTGTGATGGTGTGATTGGCCCACAGCTATCGCATGGTACAGGTAGCCAGGTACCATGTGATAGCTGTGGGCCAATCACAGCATCACAATAGTATGCAAGCTGCCATGACTGGAAGCCATTCATGACAGTTTTGCTTACGGTACATGTTATCATCGGATCGCTAGGATTGGTCATAGTGATCACATGATACCTCGGCCGCTCACTATCCTATCCAGCTTCTCTCTGCTGCCCCTCCTATCCAGCTTCTCTCTGCTGCCCCCCCCTCCTATCCAGCTTCTCTCTGCTGCCCCCCCCCCCCTCCTATCCAGCTTCTTTCTGCTTCTCCTATCCAGCTTCTTTCTGCTGCCCCTCCTGTCCAGCTTCTCTCTGCTGCCCCCCCCCCCCTCCAATCCAGCTTCTCTCTGCTGCCCCCCCCCTCCTATCCAGCTTCTCTCTGCTGCCCCCCCATCCTATCCAGCTTCTTTCTGCTTCTCCTATCCAGCTTCTTTCTGCTGCCCCTCCTGTCCAGCTTCTCTCTGCTGCCCCCCCCCCCCCTATCCAGCTTCTCTCTGCTGCCCCCCCCTTCCTATCCAGCTTCTTTCTGCTTCTCCTATCCAGCTTCTTTCTGCTGCCCCTCCTGTCCAGCTTCTCTCTGCTGCCCCCCCCCCCCTCCTATCCAGCTTCTCTCTGCTGCCCCCCCCTCCTATCCAGCTTCTCTCTGCTGCCCCCCCCCCCCTCCTATCCAGCTTCTCTCTGCTGCCCCCCACCTCCCTGTCCAGCTTCTCTCTGCTGCCCCCCCCCCCCCTCCTATCCAGCCTCTCTCTGCTGCCCCCCCTATCCAGCTTCTCTCTGCTGCCCCTCCTGTCCAGCTTCTCTCTACTGCCCCCCCCCCACCCTGCTTCTCTCTGCTGCCCCTCCTATCCAGCAGCTTCTTTCTGCTGCCCCTCCTGTCCGGCTTATGGGGATCCTGATGTAAGGGGGGAACTGTGATAGGGACCCTGATGTAAGGGATGGGCTCTTATACTGTATGTAAAGAGGGTCTTTGAAGTGATTGGGGGCTTTTAATGTGAAAGGGGCCTCTAGTGTGAAGGGGAGGACTCTGATGAGAATGCAAATGTAAAGGGGAGTCCTAATAGGGACCCTGATGGGGCTCTTATATGTAAAGAGGGTCTTTAAAATGATTGGGGGCTTCTGATGTGAAAGGGGACACTTGTGTGAAGGGAAGGACTCTGTTGAGGGACTCTGATGTAAGGGGGGACTCTGATAGGGACCCTGATGTAAGGGAGGACTCTGATGGGGACCCTGATGTAAGGGAGGACTCTGATAGGGACCCTGATGTAAGGGGGGACTCTGATAGGGAACTCTGATGTAAGGGGAGACTTTGAAGGAGACTCTGATGTGAGGGGGGACTCTAGTAGAGACCCTGATGTAAGGGAGGATTTTGATGGGAACTCTGATTTAAGGGGGGACTCTGATGCAGACTCTGATGTAAGGGGAGACTTTGATGGGGTTTCTGATGCAAAGGGGGGGGGGGGGGGGGGGTCTGATAGAGACCCTGATGTAAGGGAGGACTCTGATGGGAACTTTAATGTAAGAGGGGACTCTGATGGGAACTCTGATGTAAGGGGGACTCTGATGTAAGGGGGACTCTGATGTAAGGGGGACTCTGATAGAGGCCCTGATATAAGGGAGGACTTTGATGGGGACTCTGATGTAAGGGTGACCTCTGATATGTAAAGGGGGTCTGTGAAGTAATGGGGGGGGGGGGCTTTGCAGTGATAGGGGGGCTCTGATGTGATGAGAAGGCTTCTGATATGAAGTTTTTTCTTGCAGAGTTTATTTTTTCATTTAAATTTTATTCATCTATTTATAAAAACTGATTTTTTTTTCTTCCAATATTTGAAAAATACACAATGTGGCCCTCAGATGGAGAAGTTTGGGGGCCAGGGGCGGACTGACCATTTGGAAATTTGGGCACTGCCCGGGTCAGTAGGGGGCCCCATGAGATGCCCCTGGTACCTTTTTCATAGGCTTTTTTGAGTTTGGCCAAGGACACAGGGGTCCCATGATCCCCTATTGCCCGGGGCCCCATGAGTTGTCAGTCCGCCCCTGTTGGGGGCCCCGCCTTGACACCCAGAATAATATTTTTGGTGGGGGCCTTTTATTAAAGCATGCCCGATGGACATGAGGATATAACGGAGAAATGAGTGATGTCACAGAGCTGCCATAAACATTCATAGGAATGCGGATGGTAATTCGGCGCGCACCAGTGACGTCACACTACGGCTGGCTCCCGCTGAGCTGCATTCATAGAAATCTTCTCTTGTATTCCTTAGACTTTCACTGCCGGCCCCTTTAAGAGTCGGCTCTGAGCGTGCTCGGCGTGTTGGGTCCGCACAGTGTGCAGCGTTTCCCCCCCAGGACACGTTCTAAGCAGGAGATTGCTTTTGTGTCACGCTGTCTCCCGAAATGTCATCATTGCTGTGGATGTGTGTGAAGCGAGCCGTCCTTCCCCTCAGATGTTCATGTTCATCGATGTGACGGAACGTTCGATGTCACCCCGTCCTTGAAGGAAGGCAATGCCACCGAGGAGAGACGGAGTAGAAGAGAAAGGAGGAGGGAGAGAAGAACGAGGACATTAGAAAACGGGGTCACATGGTGTCATGTAGAAGAATTTTCCTGTAGAGCCCCGGGCCCCCGGCGCAGCCCTGCGTCATTCGTCTCCATTTCATTTATTCTTGTATTGTATTGATATTCTATTTTTGGTCGGCAGGATCGAGCAACGTGCAGGAATTCCCGATGTCTGATCGAGCAACGTGCAGGAATTCCCGATGTCTGATCAAGCAACGTGCAGGAATTCCCGATGCCTGATCGAGCAACGTGCAGGAATTCCCGATGCCTGATCGAGCAACGTGCAGGAATTCCCGATGTCTGATCGAGCAACGTGCAGGAATTCCCGATGCCTGATCGAGCAACGTGCAGAAGTTCCCAATATCTGATCGAGCAACATGAAGGAATTCCCGATCTGATCAAGCAACGTGCAGGAGTTCCTGATGTCTGATTGAGCAACGTGCAGGAGTTCCCAATATCTGATCGAGTAACATGCAGGAGTTCCTAATGTCTGATCGAGCAACATGCAGGAGTTCCTAATGTCTGATCGAGCAACGTGCAGGAGTTCCCGATGTCTGATCGAGCAACGTGCAGGAGTTCCCGATGTCTGATCGAGCAACGTGCAGGAGTTCCCGATGTCTGATCGAGCAACATGCAGAAGTTCCCAATATCTGATCGAGCAACATGCAGGAATTCCTGATCTGTTCCAGCAACGTGCAGGAATTCTTGATGTCTGATCGAGCAACATGCAGGAGTTCCTGATGTCTGATCGAGCAACGTGCAGAAGTTCCCAATATCTGATCGAGTAACATGCAGGAGTTCCCGATGTCTGATCGAGCAATGTGCAGGAATTCCTGATCTGTTCCAGCAACGTGCAGGAATTCTTGATGTCTGATCCAGCAACGTGCAGAAGTTCACAATATCTGATCGAGCAACATGAAGGAATTCCCGATCTGATCGAGCAACATGGAGGAGTTCCCGATGTCTGATCGGGCAACTTGCAGAAGTTCCCAATATCTGATCGAGCAACGTGCAGGAATTCCCGATCTGAACAAGCAACGTGCAGGAGTTCCTGATATCTGATCGAGCAACATGCAGGAGTTCCCGATGTCTGATCGAACAACATGGAGGAGTTCCCGATGTCTGATCGAGCAACGTGCAGAAGTTCCCATATATCTGATCGAGCAACATGAAGGAATTCCCGATGTCTGATCGAGCAA